CCCCCCCCAAAACCAGGCAGCATGGACGATCCAAATTTAAAGGCCGGCAGGGACTGGGTGGGTCAAAAACATGGAACAAGGGCCCCTTTATTGCTGTGGGAAGGCAGATATCTGATGCTGGGGGGGGTAAGGAGAGATTGGAGTAATTTATAAATGCGGCCATGTTTCTGAATTCCAGAGAGCCGTGTACTTGGGCAGGGGGCCTCCCAGCTGACAGGGACCCCCCACCAAGCGTTGCCTCGCAGTCCTCAGGATCACGCTGCATGCAGAGCCACGCTGGGGGGGGATTAAATATTGAAGACCGTTTGAAAAGGCAAACACTGACACGCGACCGGGGGGGGGGGGGGGGAGGGGGGGAGCCAGCCGGCCGAGGCAGGGGGTGTTCATCTCCTTGGGCATCAAATCCGGGATCAGCATCGCGACGCACATTAAGTGCCCTGCGGGGAATTCATAACAGGATTTTTTTTTTTCCCTCTTAATTTTTTTTCCTCTAGATGTACTTGGGGGAATTGATCGTTTCCGAACATGTCTTCATTTAGCTGTTCATCTGACAGACTGGTCAAGCTCTGTTGTTATGTATTATTAAATAGTTTGCCCAAAAAGAAAATCTATAACGGCAATAGTGTAGTTGGTCTCCGCTTGCCCCCGTTCCAGCCGTCCACCTGCCTAATGTGCAGATCAGCAGCCAGCGGCTCGCTCAATTAATAAATCAATGCTTAATTTAGGCATCAGGGTAACGTCCAGACCATCACAACTATTCTCCTTTTGCATTGTTTTTTTTCTCACCTGTGTACAGAATTAAGCTGAACTTAATTCCGCATTTAGGGTCTCTGGTCGGGAAGTCCGACCCTGGTAACGGAACCGGAACCTCCGACTGTGCGAACGTTTTGCTGTGAGCCTGTAGGCATTCTTGGTGGGACGTCTCTGATCGCCCTGTAGAGGGCGCCAAGGCTGGCAGAGACACGACGGCGTTCGCCGAAACCCCAGTGATAATCCCTGTCACGTTTCATTGGCATGGGGAGATAGCGGCCCGCTGGGGGGAGGGGGCCGCAGCCCCAGTGATAATCCCTGTCACGTTTCATTGGCATGGGGAGATAGCGGCCCGCTGGGGGGAGGGGGCCGCAGCCCCAGTGATAATCCCTGTCACGTTTCATTGGCATGGGGAGAT